AGCGCTGGGGAAAAGCCAAGTTGGGGTTGGGGAGCAGTGTCTGGCCGCTGTGTTGAGCGTGGCAGGGTGTTTGTCAGTGGTAGGTGGTGATGGGACTGCCCGGACCAGCAGCCCTGGATGGGCACAGGTTGCTGCTGAGCTCCTGTCGCATCCTCCTTGTCATTGGGGACCTCGTAGCTCATGGTTTGGCTCTCCCTTTTGGGACCAGGAGCAGGTCAGAGAGCAAAGGTTTCTGGCGATCCCATCCAGACGACCCTGGACCCTGTCCCAGCAGGCAAGTGGACCGGGTGGATGTGGGTGACTTGGCCCAGCCCGTGGGGTCTGTCCCACCGAGAGCTGGACCCCCAGACACAGAAGCAGGGGGGGAAAGCAGCAGAAAAAGGGGCCTTGAGGGTTGTTCCTCGAGCTCTGCTGCGTTCCAACTTCCCTCATGTGCCCACGGACACACACAGGTCTTGCAAGACCCCACTGAAAAAAAATCACTCCTAAAACCCAACAACTCCATTTCCTCCCTCTCCGCTTTTATGTGGGGTGTTTCCACGTGGGTCTTGGGGAGATTAGGGGGTGGGAAAGGGGAAGGGAGAAGGGAACCGGCCAGGCCTGCCCGTCCCCAGGCAGCGTGCGCGCAGAGGCTCGGTGCGGGAAGAATGGGCGGCCGCGGTCCACGTGACGGGAACTCGCCAGGCCATGAATGGGGGAGATGCTCCATTCATAAATGCAGGGTCTTGCTGCATCCGCGTAGGCATTGGCGCCGGCCCTGCCAGGAATCCCCAGCCCGCTGGAGCTGCTCCTCCCTCTGCCAGCAAATCCCCCTTAACTCTTTGCTGACGCTCGTTTGGGCTCCGCTGATGAAGTTGAGCCGAAAGCCCTGCTGGAATCACTGCCTGGGATGCGGAGGTCCTGGTCCGTCAGAGCAGGCAGCGATGCTCACGGCAGCGCTGGCTGGCACAGGGGGGCAAGAGACATCGGCTGCATCGCCCGTCTCAGCTCCTTATGAATTTGTTCTGCTAAAATGGACGGAGCTCATGAACGTGGAGTGGATTTTTCTCTCATCTCACTCTCCCCCTCCCCACCCTGGGTCTGAACTCCTGAGTTTGATTGCATAGTGATGACTGATGTGGCGATCCTGGGAGGGACAGGAGATGCCCCCAGCAGTGATGATCCAGGGCCAAACGGCTGCTTGCTTAATTATTGGGGGCATTAGAAGGGCTTGAACCAAGGTGAGCTGCAGCGAGGGGGCTGCAGTGCAGGGAGCTGGCTGGGACCCCGGGCCGGCAGCGCCAGCTTCCAGCCTCCTGGCCTTGCTGTGGGTCCTGCCACAAGCGGGGTTGCACGTGCCTGTGCAAAGCCTCGAGATCCTTTTGTCTTTTTAAAATGACGTTTTGGATCTCCCCACGAGCATCCCCAGCCCGGGGTGTCGGGAGGTGCAGGGGCAGCTCTTGCTCCCCAGCGCGGGGCTGGGTGGGAGGAGGGGGCTGTTTTGCAGCACTGAGAGCCAGCGTTTTGCAGCAAACACTGCTGAAATTTGGGTCAGAGCTGGCTCTGCCGGCCCTTGCTTGCCAAACCAGTGAGCCCTGCTCGGCTGGGTGTCTCAGCTCACTGAAGGCTCTGCGCTATCAAACAGGGCTCCAGAGATTTTAGGGAGATGAAGGTGCCTGGTTGAACGTGGTCCCCGATGTCCGTTCTCTGACAGGGGGCAGGCATGGGGGGACGTTGGCAGCTCTCGTGCCACGGGAGGCATTTGCTGGGCTGGGGCTTGTGTGCCCAGCAGACACCCCAGCTCGGTGCTGACCCCTGTCCTTTCCCCGTGCCCCCCCCAGAGCAAGCTCCACATGGAGGGTTTCCGCAGCCTGAAGGAGGGTGAAGCTGTTGAGTTCACCTTCAAGAAGTCGTCCAAAGGTTTGGAGTCCATCCGGGTGACCGGCCCGGGGGGTGTCTTCTGCATCGGCAGCGAGAGGAGACCCAAGGGCAAGAGCCTCCAGAAACGCAGATCGAAAGGAGACCGGTAAGGGGTGGCCGGGGCCTGATCCGGGGCAGGGTCCGAGCCCTGTGGGCACCAGGAGCTGCCCGGCACCCTGCCTGTGGCATCGGGACGGGCTCGGGTCCGGTGGGGCGGGCAGCGACCCTTCCTCTGGGAAAGCGTCTTCCTTCGGCGGTTAATGAGTGGCAGATGCAGCTTGGTGGGGAAAGGGCAGCAAACCAGCAGCGAAAGGGCAGAGGTCAGGGACACCCCGGGCGGCCGCTCCCCTCGTCTGGGGGAGCCGCGCTGGGCAGGGGTAATTTTCTCGAAGAGAAACCCTTCCTTGTGGGAAGGAAATGGCCGGACGTCCTGGCAGCATCTCCCACGGTGAGGCTTGGAGCCCCCGGGCGAGTTTCTGGCCAGCCCTTCGTCCCCCCTCTCCTCTCCCATCCTCTCCATCCTGGCTGCCCGGGGACGCCTTGTCCCGGCTTTCCCAGCGGATGCTGCCCGCCCCACCCAGCTGTTCTCACAAGCGGGTTTTAAAATTAGCTAGAAAGGAATTGGGAAGAAAAAGGAAAGAGAAAAGGGTTGTGGCCGTCCTAGACGGATGCAGGATTTAAAACTGACACAAGGCAGCTCCCTCTGCCCACACCGCTCTGGTGCGAAGGTGGCACCTGGGGGAGGAGTGCTGCAAGGGTACAGCCACGAGAGAAGCCACGTTTGGGGTTGTCCCCACACTGATGGTCACAGTCCCTGCAACCATTCTCCCGGCTGGGGCTGTCAGTCGTCCTATTGCCTGTTCCTGCTCTGCCGCAGGCTTTTGGTCTGTAGCGTGTAACCCCGGGTGTCTGTAGACACAGAAGCCAGAACCATGATGGAGCCAGAGGGGTGGAAGCCCCCGACATCCCTGATTTTTGTCCCCGAGTGCTTGGTTTCGGTGCGGGGGTTTGCTGCCATCTCCTGGGTACCAGCAGCACCACTGAGCCAGGTCCAAACTGGCCGTGCTGGCGTTGGGGCTCTGCGGGGACCAGACCCAGGGACACCATCCGCCCCCAAAGAGCCGCCCCCACATCCCCGCAGTGGCCGGGCCATTTTGAGCCCAGCTCTGGCTGTGAAGCCAGATGAGTCCCAGGCAGAGCCACGGCAGCATCCCACCTCATTTTGTTTCTCCTCCCCGCATCTCTTCAAAAAAAAACCTCCTCGAATCTCTTCTTCCCCTCCCCGCCCCCCCCGCCCCCCCGCAGATGCTACAACTGCGGCGGGCTGGACCACCATGCCAAAGAGTGCAAGCTCCCGCCGCAGCCCAAGAAATGCCACTTCTGCCAGAGCATCAGCCACATGGTCGCCAACTGCCCCGCGAAAGCACAGCAGTCCCCCAGCTCCCAGGGAAAACCTGCCTACTTCCGAGAGGAGGAGGACATGCACAGCTCGGCCCTCCTCCCCGAAACCCGGGAATGATGGCGGGTGACGGGGAGGGGGGGCTTCCACCGGGATGAAAAGGCTTTGGCAAGGCAACGGGCAGCCGCGGGGGCTTGGAGGAGGGAGGGCAGGGTGAAGGACTGGGGAGGGAAGATGGCAGCGCTGGCGGTGGGGAGCCGGGGGGTCCCCGGGGCAGGGCAGAAGGGTCCTGCTGTGGTGTCCCTGCACAGACCTTTTCCCCCTGTTCCCAGCCTGGGAAAAGCCCTGCTTTAATCGGGACAGCTCGTTCCAAAAATAGGGGAAGGCAGCACCCAACACACCTCTTCCAGCTAAAAAAACCCAAAACCTATTTGATTCACCTTTATTCTTTTCCTAAACAAAGCCAGGCAGTAGTGTCTCTGGGAGGAAGAGCAGAGAAGCAACATCTCAGGGAGGAGCTCATGGCTCCTGAGCTTGAAACAGGCTCCGGCACAGCTTGGATGAGCTTCAGGGGACCCATTCCCCTGCCTGCCCCGTCCCTCTCTGCCCCGAGGAGGGAGGGCTGGCTGCAGAGCACCAGGGAGATGCCTGTGGGCTGGCCCCATGGGTCCCTCTGCTCCTCGCGGCTTCTCACTTGCAGGTCGGTGCGAGGATTTGCAGTTTTTCTGTGATCGCCCCATTGCTGCAACCAGCAGAGCCCAGATTTGGGCTCAGTCTGGAAGGAAAAGGGGCATCTCTCAGGGCTGGGCTAACGCTTGCCGCCTGCTTGTGGGCTGCGAGCTGCGGCTTGGGGGAGATCAAGTCAAAAGAAAACCACTTTTTTTTTTTCCCCCCTAAGCCTTCCCAAGTGCCAGCCCAGAGAGCGCAGGGTGTTTTATGCAGCCAGCTCTTCCCCTCTAAGGCTTCTCCCTGCCTCCGAAATGCGGAGCCGGGGAGCGGGAGGGCTTCGTGGAGCAGAAATGCTCTTTGTTAAGCCTTGGGCACCAGACACGGGGCAGAGCTGGCTCCCGGGGACGTTGCTGGCAGCGTTTCCCTCGGAGGCCGTGTACGCAACCCACCCGGGGCTCACGCAGATCCAGCCGTGGCTTGATCCAGACACCAGACTGCCTGGGTCTTCCCACGGGCCGTGGATCAAACCCACGCCGGACAAAAACGCGCCTCTGCTCCTCCTGCCCACCCCACGCTCCAGAAATCGATGGTTCCTGGGCTGAGCCTCCCCAGGGGCAGAGGAAAAGGGTGCCCCAGGTCGTTAGCGGCTGCTGTCCTCCCTCCCCACTGGCCCCCCCAAGTCTTGCCTTTATTTATTGGCCCCGGTGGACAGCCCTTCTCCCGGGGCAGCCCCCCCGTCCATGCCGAAGCCAACGCCGAGTGAAACCTGCACTAGGACGTGCGTGAATGACGTATCTTTGGGTTTGTTTGTCGTCTTTGTTTTGAGACGTATCTTTGGGGTTGTTTTTTGTCTTTTTTTTTGGGTGTTTTTTTTTTTTTTTTTTTAATATAAATATTCTGTTTTTGTATTTTTGTATATTTTAATCTTTAAGAAAAGAAAAAAAAAGAGAGAGAAAGGACATAATTCCTGCAACTTATTCTCAGGTATTCGAGCAATCTCAGGGATAAAATGCCTCTGTAGCCCAGTGCTGGACAGAGAGGAGGGTTTTTTCTAACAGCACAAAGACGTGACTAAGTTTGTATTGGAAGTGTAGATCTACCTCACTGGATGTTCGCTAGGTGGACTGACGTGTTGTCGAGCTTTTCAGTTGTGTTTTTTTGGTATGTTTGGGATTTGTTTTCTTTTTTAACTGTATTTTAATAGTG